GAGACTGCACCTGGAGTATTGTGTGCAGTTTTGGTCTCCTTATTTAAAAAAGGACATACTTGCCCTAGAGGGGGTGCAGCGTAGATTCACTCGGTTAGTTCCTGGGATGAGGGGACTGACCTATGAAGATAGGCTGAATAAACTAGGGCTATATTCTCTAGAGTACAGAAGAATTAGGGGAGATTTTATTGAAACATATAAAATTCTTAAAGGGCTGATAAAGTAGACACTGAGGGTCTGTTTCCCCTGGTAGGAGAATCTATAACCAGGGTCACAGTCTTAAAATTAAGGGTCAGCTTTTTAGAACAGAGTTGAGGAAACATTTCTTCACTCAGAAAGTAGTGAATTTATGGAATTCACTACCCCAGAAGGCTGTAGATGCTCAGTCCTTGAACATCTTCAAGGCTGAGACTGATAGATTTTTAAAAAAACAGAAGGATTAGGGGATATGGGGATAGGGCAGGTAATTAGAGTTAGGTCTGAAGATCAGTCATGATCTTATCGAATGGCGGGGCAGGCTCGAGGGGCCGAATGGCCTACTCCTGCTCCTAATTCTTATGTTCTTATGTCAGGAGGACGTCCCAAAGCCATGAACTGTCAGGTGTCGGGGTCCGAGCATGGGGGAGGGGTAGTGTAGGTGTTAGGGAAGGCAGAGAGATGGGAGGGAGACCAAAGGCACGGTTGATGAGAAAGGTCTTGAGACCGACCTTGAAGGATGCGAGGGAGGAAACGAGTCGAAGGGACTGTGGGATGGAGTTCCAGAGGGTGGGGGCAGAGAGGCTGAAAGCCTGGCCACCGATGGTAGAGCGGGTTGGGCGGGAGACATGGAGCAGGCCGGAGCCTGATGAACGGAGAGAGCGGGCAGGCTCATAGGAGTCAGCAGGTCAGAGAGGTAGGATGGGGCAAGGCCATGGATGGCCTTAAAGTTGAAGACGAGGATCTTGAACTCGATCCTCTGGGGGATGGGGAGCCAGTGGAGTCAGGTGAGGGTGGGAGTGATGGGGTCACGGAGCCTGTTGCGTGAGAGTACACGAGCTGCAGAGTTTTGGATGATCTGCAGCTTGTGAAGGGAAGAGTTGGGAAGGCCGATGAGGAGGGAGTTCCCGTAATCAAGCCTTGAGGTGACGAATGCATGGGTGAGGGTTTCGGCAGCCTGAGGGGTGAGGCAGTGGCGGAGTCTGGCAATATTGCGGAGGTGGTGGTAGGCAGTGCCAGTCATGGCTCGGATGTGGGGGAGAAAGGACAGTTCAGGGTTAAACAAGATACCCAGGTTCCTGACTGGCTTAGTGAGGTTGAGTTTGCAGCCATGGAGGCTGATGCTGCCAGTGCTTGAGGTGCGGAGGCGTTGGGGCGAGCCAATCAGGAGGGCCTCGGTCTTGCTGACGTTGAGTTGGAGAAAGTTGTCCCTCATCCAGGACTTGATGTCGGACAGGCAGTCGGGCAGGACGCCAGTAGTCCTGGAGTTCAGGGTGGAAGCACAGAGGTAGAGTTGGGTGTCATCCGCATACATGTGGAAATTTACCCCATGTCTACGGATGACATCACCAAGGGGGAGCATGTATAGGATGAAGAGGAGGGGACTGAGGACAAAGCCCTGAGAAACACTGCACGAGATAGTGCGGGGTCTGGAGGAGAAGCCGTTTGCCGCGACGTGTGTGAAAGTTAGGACCTGAACCAGTCAAGGACAGAGCCTTGAAGGTTGAGGTGGGAGGAGAGGCAGTGAAGGAGGATTGAGTGGTCCACAGTGTCAAAGGCGGTGGAGAGGTCAAGGAGGACGAGGAAGCAGAGGGAGCCCTGGTCACACATGGTCAGGATGGCATTTGTGACCTTGACCAGAGCAGTTTCTGTGCTGTAGGCAGCACGGAAACCTGACTGGAGGGTCTCATGGAGGGAGCGAGAGGAGAGGAAAGAGCGAAGCTGGGAGGCGATGGCTCTCTCAAGGACCTTGAATAGAAAGGGTAGATTTGAGATGGGCAAGTAGCTAGATAGCTGTGACGGGTCAAGGGACGGTTTCTTCAGGGTGGGGGTGATGGTGGCTGTTTTGAGTGGGGAAGGAACAGTGCCAGATGACAGGGAGAGATTAATGATGTCTGCGAGTAGTGGGGCAAGGAGGTGGAGCTAAGATTTAAGGAGAGGGGTAAGGATGGTGTCGAGGGAGCAGGTGGTGGATTTCATGGAGGTTACCGTGTTGAAGACAGAGGAGGGGGTGACAGGTTCAAAGGTGTGGAAGGAGGTATGGGTAATTGTCGGATGGGTAATTGTGTGGGGTGGGGGTAGGGAGGGGTTGGAAGTTGGGAGGGCAGTAGCAGCTGAGTGGATTCCCTCAATTTTGGACTCGAGGAAGTCCAGCATTTTCTCACAGTGAGAGTCAGAGGAAAGTATCTGCGAGGCGTGGCGGGGAGGGCGGAGGAGACGGTTGGTCGTGTAGAACAGGAACCTGGGATTGCCTTTCACATCCAGGATTAACCTGGAATAGAAGGCTGATTTGGCTGAGCCGAGAGCGGACCGGTAGTTCTTGATGAGGTCCAGCCAGATGTAGCAGTGGACCATTAGGCCGGATTTGAGCCAAGTGCTTTCGACAGACCGCACCTGGCCCTTAAGCAAGCGGAGGTGGCTGGTGAACCAGAGTGAGGATCGGGAATAGGTGGCAGTTCGGGAGGTGAAGGGGGCAAGGACGTCGAGTGTGGTGGAGAGGGTGCTGTGGAGAAAAGTGAGTGCAGTGAGTGGGTTGTTGCGAGAGGTGGGCCAGAGGGGGAGGAGATCAGAGGACTCCAGGGCAGCGGAGAGGGATTACGGGGAGATCTTCTTCCACGGGTGGTAGAAGATGGTGGTAGGTTTGGGGGCAGTGGGGCGAAAGATATGGGAGTTGAGGGAGATGAAATGGTAGTCAGAGATGGCCTTGTCAGTGATGGTGACATAATAATAATAATAATAATAATAATCCTTGCATTTGATATAGCGCTTTTCACGTCGGGAGGACGTCCCAAAGCGCTTCACAGAACACACTGTAAAGTGAATTGACTGTATATTTGTGGGCGAACGCGGCAGCCAATTGCGCACAGCAATGTCCCACAAACAGTCGTAGATTGAAAATGACCAATTTATTATTGTTTTGTTTTGGAGGGATTATTATTAGGCGTGTGGAGTAAGGAAACTTGCCCAAGGTTTCGCCCTCTGCCTGGAATTGAACTCAGGTCTCTCGCTTGCAAAGTGAGTGCTCTAACCACTGAGCTACAGGACTCCACATCCGAGATGCTGAGGCCCCGGGTGATCACCAGGTCGAGCGGGTGACTGTGGATGTGGGTAGCAGAGTGGATGTGGAGGGAGAGGTTGAGAGAGGAGAGGAGAGAGGAAAAGTCTGAGGAGATGGAACAGGAGAGTGAAGTAGAGGTTGATATCGCCTACGATGATGGCGGTCGGAGCAGAGGGAAGCAAAGAGGGTGGAGATGTCAGAGATGAAGGTGGGAGAGGATTTGGGGTAAAGTAAGAAAATTTTCAGAGGGAGGTGGGAGGGATGGCAGAGGGTGAGGTGTTCGAAGGAGGGGAATGAGCTGGTGGAGTAGGGGTATAGGGCAAGTGACACCCTAGATATGAGGGCCACATCACCATGACAACGGTTGGTGCGTAGGGCATGGTGGTAGGTGTAGCCAGGTGGTGTGGCCTCAGTGAGGGGAAAGGTGTCACTTGGGGTGATCCAGGTTTCTGTGAGGGCCATAATGTCAATGTTCTCATCAAGGATGAGTTCATTAATGGCCAGGGTCTTGTTGGAGATGGAGTGGACATTTTGAAGTCCAATGCGGACAATTGGCAGGGGGATGTGTGGGATGGGAGGGGGTAGAGGAATGGTTGAGAGGGAGGGTGGGGATGCAGATGAGGGAGAGGTTAGCCTCCAGGGTCAGGGTCCGGCGTGGCTTGCGGCAGAAGTAGGGAATGGGGCAGTCGGTCTTGCTGCTGCTGGACAGCCAGCGCCGAGTGCCACGATGAGCCTGGCAGAGGATTCCCAGGCTGGAGCAGAGTAACCAAGTAGGGACATGGTTGTTAGTCGATTGGTGGATTGCTTTTCCGGGGTAATAATTCCTTCAAACAAAAATAAAGAATAATAATAATTTGGTCACCCAATCTGAATAATAGGCAGCCTTGGTGCTAATAGTCTGTAGTAGATATTGAAAGGTACTCAAGATGATGTTTGTTGGAAGAACTGAGCAATGAATATATTTACTAGTAACCATTTTCAAAGTTTTATTTTACGTGCACAACATAAAAATAAATCACAAAATTATAAGCTATTACAGTGTGGTTTACAGTGTTATATATCACAAACCCAATTGCATTCTAAGCAGATTGTTGTACAATTGTTGTATAAATAGTACCAGACACACATTTTATACTGAATATATTTAAAACTTTATTCTCTAGACTACTTAAAGTCTTGATATTTTCATGCTTTTGATTTCTAAACTAAATTGAGTAGTTTTTAAAGAGAGATGTTCTATGATTTATCTACATATGAGCTGCAGAGTTCTGAATAATCTGCAGCTTGTGGAGAGGATAGTAGGGAAGTCCTGGTGAGGAGGGAATTAGCATAGTCAAGCCTGGACATGATGAAAGCGTAGATGAGGGACTCGGCAGCTCGAGGGGAGAGGTAGTGGAGGAGGCAAGCAATGTTGCGGCGGTGGGGTAAGGCAGAACAGATCATGGCACAGATGTGGGGTTTAAAGGACAGACGAGGGTCAAACAAGATTCTTGTACTGGCTCGTGATGTGTGAATCCATGAATGGTGATGCTGTCAGCGCCTGAGATGAGGAAGCACTGATGGGAGCCAATAAGCAGGGCCTCTGTCTTGTCAGCATTCAACTGGAGAAAGATGGCTCTTATCCAGGATTTAATATCTGACAGACAATTCATCAAGGCAGCAGTGGTCCTGGAGTAGAGGGTGATAGCAGGGAGATAGAGTTGGGTGTCATCTGCATATATTTTTTGGGGGGCTAACCAGGTGTCTGACACATGAGGAAACCCATCATCATGCTTAAGAGTATCCAAAACAAACATCGTTCCATGCACCTCTCCCACATATGGAAATTCCAACAAATGCAACAAATCCATCTTCCACTGAATATTGTCAATCACCTGAATAAATGCATTTAATTCTCTTAATATAGATGGGTACGGTATTATTAGCAAATTGATATTTTAAGATCCAACAACAACAACAGCAACAAGATTACATTTGTATAGCGCCTTTCACGTCGGGAGGATGTCCCAAGGCGCTGGACAGTGTACAGCATTTAGGCCGGAGCTGGGGTCGGGGGGGTGGGGGGGGTAGAAGGGAGGTGAGGGGGAAAGGGGTTGACCGATGGCATGGTGAAAGAGGAGGGTTTTGAGGCGGGACTTGAAGAAAGCTAAGGAGGGGGCGAGGCGGAGTGACTGGGGGATGGAATTCCAGAGGTTGGGGGCAGAGTGGCTGAAGGCTCTCCTGCCAATGTTGGGGCGGGTGGGTCGGGGGACGTGGAGCAGGCTGGAGCCGGCTGAGCGGAGGGAGCGGGGGGTTGGGAGGGGGTTAGGAAATCGCATAAGTATGGTGGGGCGAGGCCATGGAGGGCTTTGTACGTGAGGACCAGGATCTTGAACTGGATCCTGTGAAGGATAGGGAGCCAATGGAGTTGGATGAAAATGCAGGAGATGGGGTCACGCAGTTTGGTGCAGAAGAGGACACGGGCTGCAGAGTTCTGGATTATCTGCAGCCTGTGGAGGGAGGAGTTGGGAAGGCCGACAAGCAGGTTAAAAAGGGATTTATCCCATCCTAGAGTATTCACTTACCTTATTTACCCATTGAGTTTTCTTGAGATTTGGAATAGATTTGTTCCAACCTGGTTAGTGAGGTCTGAAAAAAATGTAAGTACATGTTAACATTACTTAAACATAGAAATCTATAGTGCAGGAGGAGGCTATCTGATTTATCAAGTCTGCACAGAGCGAGGAGATCAATTCAATCCCACTGCCCCACCTTATCCCAATACTATATTTGAAATACAACATAATGGGTTCATATTTTTCTGTTCATTAATTTCAGCAACAAGGTGCTTTTCACAAACTAGAAGTTGTGAAATGTGCTTTTCACAAACTAGAAGTTACTGTGCTAATTGTGCCTTCACAAGTTCACAAAATTGGTTCAAATGAAGAAGGATCTTCTTCAGATCTCTTCCTTCCAGAATGGAGTTTCTCCCAGGGTCCTGGTTAACATTCCCAAATAAAATTGGTCATTTGTTTCATGACCATTCGTGAGACATAGCTATGTGCAAATGGGCTGCTATGGTTGCCTACATTGCACAGTCACTCTACTTCATGGTAAATCCTATGAACTGCTTTAAGAAGTCCTCCCGATATGAAAGGTGGTGTACCAAATCCAATAAATTATTAAGGATTAGTATTTAGAACCATCCTACCATCTTCTCATTACATCAAGCTGCTTTTTAAAGTAATCCAATATCCTGGACTCAATGATCTGGTGTCTGTCCTCAAATTGCTCAAGTTACTCTAAACCTATGTCCTCTTGGCTCTATTCTCTTTGGGCATCCTAAAGGATTATTCTGAATTTACTTTTTCAATCCCATTTAAAATTGTATATAGAACATCTCTATAAAGTCTCCTATGAGATGTCTTCTCTCAAGATTGAAGAGCCATAGTTTGTCTAATGGTTGGTAAATAATAATCCTTGCATTTGATATAGCGCCTTATCACGTCTTCGAGACATCTCAAAACGCTTCACAGAATATACTGTAAAGTGAATTGACTGTATATTTTGTGGGCGAAACGTGGCAGCCAATTGCATACAGCAGCGCCCCACACACAGTCATGGATTGAGTGACCAATTTACCATTATTATTTATTTTTGAAGGAATTATTACCCTCGAAAAAGCGATCTGCCAATCGACTAACAATCAAGTTCCTACTCACTGCTCAGTAAACAGAGGCGTGAGGAGCAAGGAAACTTGTCTAAAGTTTCTCCCCGCCCAGGAATCAAATCCAGGTCCTATCCCTTGCAAGGTGAGTGCTCCATCCTCTGAGCTACAAGGCTCTAATGGTTTGTGATTGAAATGATGGCATTTGCTAACAAATTGGTAAGCATATAAACGGATGGAGGCCTTTTTTGGCCATTTGAATAATAGTTCATGAAGCATCACAATTCCACAATGAATGGTTTCAGCCTAGACTGTGAGCTCAAAGCCCCTGTGTGGGGCTTGAACCACAACCTTCTGACACATTCACTGTGGTGCCAGGCTCGCATTTCCTCTTTAACCGCTTTACATAAATTGTTGATGCATACAAATCTGCAGGGATCAAGGAATTTATTAAAATAGCCAAACAGTACTGCTCTTTTGCTAATCCAAGATCTAAATTGATTGAAAGTTCTGCAATGAGACTTACCGATGATTGAACATGCTTTCTTAAAGCGTCTCGAATCTAAGATGTGAAAAAGATTTGAATTAAAATGTCATATTCAATTAAAGAAATCAAAATTCTAAAACAAATTAAATTGATTTTGTAAGAAAAAAATGAAATTTCTTCACCTTTCTCTCTGAGAAACTTGTTATTAAAATAAAGAATCCCTTGAAAAAAATGAATACATTATGATTATTATTAATTTATACAAGTTATATAAGGCAATAGCGAAAACAATTCTTAAGATCAGAAACAATAGGTTTACTGTACCTGCAATGAGTTTAAGATAATAAACATATAGTGAACGACAGCAGATTTACTCATAATGATTTCAGCGAATCCAATAATCCAGGTCAGTCCAAAAATTGGAGTCAGCAGAAGGATGACTTTGAAGATTTTCATGATTGTTTCTTTGTCTTCTGATTTACCCCCATCTGAGACAGATGGTCTCATCAGTTTTACAATGACCAGAACCAGAATCATGATGTCGATGCTAATGATACATCCGACTGGTATAATAAATGTATAAAAGGCACTGAATTTGCCGATGGGCTCAGGGTTTAACCAACAATATTTCCCTTTATATTTGTCGCCAAACATTGCAAATGCACTAATCACGATTAGCAGTGGAATGAAATAACCAATGACAAACAAAATCAACATATAGATTGACTTCCTTATATGATGAAAAACAAAATTAAGATGGTAAAAAAGCATTGAGCTGTGACAAAACATCCAAAAGAACGTGGAAAGGAAAAAGAAATGTGTAAAACCGGTAACAATTTTACAGTAGTTTTTCTTTTCTTTAACATAAGAAACAGAACCTATTAGAAATGCACACTGACCAAGTAACAAAGAGATAGCAATGTTGACCAGCACAATATGTCGCAAATATCCAATGGTGGTTTTGACAACTGAATCCCACACCATTACTTCTATCATGAGATAAATCGCCAGTGATCCAATGGACATGCCTAGCCCTACGAAAGTTATTTCAGTAGAAAATGAGAAATCTGGTGCATTTGGTAACATAAGCACAGCAAAAGATGTCAAGTGTCCACATTGACATGTTATTTCATTCTCACTCCATCCAGTTGTACAACCTTTAGTTGACCAGCCACCTTTTTTATTGAAGAGGGCCTTATCCCAAAATACGCACTTTGCAGTATTGAAATCGCCATTTATCCTATTTGCACTGAAGTTCATGCTAACGTTATCTATTTTGGCTGAACTTTTACTCGTCAAGGTCACTGCTGTTGATTGAATAACACTGTTTATAAAGTATAGGTCTGTTTCTCCCGATTCAAGTCTCTTCGGTAAAAGGTGATGTAGCTCAGTATAAGCAATGGTTGATACTGTAAAATTTAGACCCTGAAAGTTCTCCAAAGTTTTTGGATTTATATATATTGTGGATGAAAAATTTCCTGAAAAATTCTGTGTATAGTTGCTGTTGATGTTGTTTCCATCAAACTCTTCTCCCTTCAGTTGAATGTTTGGTAACGTTATACTGATTGTTTTCTTACCAGGCTTTAATAACTGTCTGAAGTCTTCAACTGAATTCATTAATTGACTGGCATATGACAAACCTTTTTCATCATCATTAAAATTATTGTTTGCCTTTCCAGTTAGAATGCTTGTCACATTAAGGAAATCCTGCAAAAAAAAAGTATACACAAAATAAGAGTAATATAGACCAGTCTTTACCGCAGTAGAGGTAGATTGATAAATTAGAATGCGAAACAAAATGCAGTAGTTCTTAATGGTATCCTTAAGAGCTTGGCTCAGTTGGTAGTAATCTCACGTATGAATCAGAAGGTTGTGTGTTCAAGGCTCATATCAGCACTTGGAACCCATATAATCGAGGTAACACCAGATACGTGGGTGGTTAGGACTACAGGGGGCTCCAGCTCCTTACCTCCCAAATCTATCCACAGTTCACCTCTTTATGGGGAGCTGGGAGGGGAGAGCTCTGGGAGAGCCCTGAAGAGGACCACACCCAGTCCTTCGAGCAGCCCCAAACTGTAGCACCCCATGGGTCCAATCTTGCTTCTCTTTCAATTCGTCCATTGTGTTTGCCCATTTCCAGTCCGGCGGGCTGCTCGTTGGAGCGACCTCACCTCTGATTGGGCTGCTGGACCTGTCGGTCAAGCCAACAGCTTGTTTGTCTTAAATGGGGCACTTTAACTGAGTTACTGTCCCCCCACACCCCGCAAAGAATATTTTCAGTTGCTACCTATGGCTGACATTCTATTGCAGTGCTGGAGGTGTGCTATATTGTTGCAAGCGTTATCCTTTGGATGAGATGTTAAACTGTCTGCATGTTAACAATCCCATGGTGCTGTTCAAAAGGAGAAGTGAGGTTCACCCAGTGTGTTGGCCAAGTGTCCCCCAAACAAAATAGCTTATCAACCATAACAACTTGCATTTAGGAAATGCTAGACGATAAAAGACAGAGGTCCATCCAGTTCTCCTTCCACCACCCATCCTTCCAGTCGCATGCACGTGTCATGTCCTGAACTACTGATACACTGTATCCCAAAATATTATTTCCTAAAAGAAATCTATCTAATTTGCATTTGAAAGAATCAACACTTTCGGCTTTCACCATCTCCATAGAGAGCCTGCTCGGTAGATTTACCACTTGCTCATTGAAATTTTAAAAAAAAGAAATAAATATGAAAGGAACAAACAGAGTTAAAAAAAAAGAAATAAATATGAAAGGAACAAACAGAGGAGTCAATTAAATAGATAGCTCTTAAGGACAACTGGCATAGGAATGATTAAAAAATTCTATTGTACTATGAAATCCAATATTATGGTCTCTAAACATTTACCCACAACTGTGGACTAATTGTTATTTTAAACAGAAGTGTAACATTTGCCAATAAGGCCATCCTTTGACATGATTCCCATTTCCAAAAAGGTTTGGAAGTTTGGGATCATTGCATCTGCTATTTCTTCCCTGTCCCCTGTCAATATTTTAGGATACATAAAAAAAGCTCTTTTAAATTCTCCTCTGCTACTTTTACTTTTTAAGCGCTCTGAGATGCTACCCTGTGTGGAAAGCGTTATATAAGTGCAAGTTGTTTTTGTTCACAGTCTCACTCTCACCTTCCTTTGTAAAAGCCAAAGTATTTATAAGGTATTTTCCACAGTCCTTTATCTCAACCAAAAGATTGCTACTTTGGCACTAGACAGTCCCATGCTTTAATAATAACAATCTTTTCATTTCATGTAGCACCTTTCATGTCGGGAGGATTTGAAAGTCTCAACGGGCTTCATAGGATTTTAGTGTAAAGTGTAATGACTGTGTTTTGTAGGTAAATGGGGCAATCAATTTGAGTGCAGCAATGTCCTATAAGCACCCATGAAGTGAGTGACTAATTTCACTAATGACTCCCTTCCGTTTTCGAATAGTGCCATAGTATCTTTAACGTCCTCCAGAACAGGCCGATGAGGCCTTGGTTCAACATCTCATTTGACACTCCACTCACATTTGTATATTTATAAGTAATCCATATACCAAACATTGTTCATCTCACTACAATTGTAATTTACATTTATATAGTCCTTTCACATCTCATCTAACATTACTGTTTGATGTAGTCTCAAGAAGAATTTTCATTACAGTATGATAACTAAACTTTTTGTTTTATTCTACCACAGTGTCAAATCAAAAATGATCAATACTCCAACATCTATAGAGATATTTGAATAAGGGAAAATTACTTACTGAGACAACTGAAACATTAAATGTCAGCTGTAATGAAATCGCTGTTTGTTTTAGTACATCCAAAATGGTAATTGAATTAATGATTTCTGCTTTTGTAAGATTTTTTTCATTTACATTGACGAATATGCTTAGATTCTTTACTATATGGGGAATTAATACCCTCTGATCTCCTCTTCCCTCTTCTAGTTCCTGAAAGACAATGTTATGCAAGCAATTAACACAGACTTTTTTTTTGTTGCTTCTAATTTACGGTATTTCTTAATGTCATTTTTTGATAAGGAATCTGACTCATGAAAAATGGGGATTCTTTCAGGTCTCTGGAAAAACATTACAAAAAGCCCTGGGGTGATGCTGGATTCTAAAACGACACAGCTTGCCATTGAGGCACCGAATGACAAGATTCTCACTGCTTGTCCAGCTAGGACTACCCTGCAGTCCTGCTTGTGAACCAGGAAGGCTGGGCAACAATTCCCTGGAATACTGCAGACTTCCCTGACTCGGGAGCCAGACTACCAAGACTGCCACAGAGAATTCACTCAATCCTGATATTCCATGTCGAGCATGTCACCTCAGACCTCTCCCTTATATCCACAAGCCTCCCCCCCCACCTCCCCACACTCGCTCAGGAGAATTCAGAGAATATGAACAGAACAGAAACAGGTCTTTCAACCAATAAGCATAAATTTCACCAGGATCTATTTTATTAATGTAGCATTTCAAAGCATCCAGAATTTATGACATTTTGCACACTCTGATGTGCTATGTTAATAGAGGAAATCTTGACTAAGATGGATTTGCACTGGTGTTTTACTGCATATTAGCTACCCAACCTACTTCATATCTCCTGGTCAGATGATTTTTTTTTGGTCTATACATTCCTATGCTCCTTGTAAGGCAATATTAAAATGATACATACCAAAGTAATCTCCAGTAGTTCCAATAGGTCTTTACTTGAACAATTGAAATTCACTAGATCCCACATGAAATTGGACTTACAAAATCTTGTTATTTTTCCAATTTTATCATTTGTACAGAATCCTAAATATTCTGCAGAGTAATTAGATTTTGTCTTATTCCATTTCATTTCAGTTTCTTCTTCAGGAGGGCAGCCTGGATCATCTTCTGTATACGAATCAAAGTGCAGAAACACGGTATTAAATAATCAAAGAATATTTATTCAATTTTCACAATATTCAGATTTTACCAAAAATGTTATTTATTTCTCCACACTCCATTTTGGCTTCACCATATTCTATGGGTAAATTAAGATGAGCGACAGGGAAGAAATTATGTGGGTGGTGGGTGGGGTGGTGTTGGAGGTGAAAATTCAATTCCAGTTATGTAGCATTTTAGAGGGCCAGAATTTGGCATATTCTTAAACACCACCTTAATTTTAAAGCCAGTTTGATGTAAATTTCTTTTAAGATCTATAAAAACTCCCAACTTCAAATTTGAGACTGAATTCAACAATTTGGAAAATTCTGGACACCAAGTGCTACATAAATGGAGTAAAACTAGACTCAAATAAAATTGCTCCCCACAGAAATTTTGAAATGCTATGTTATGACCTAATAAGATAATATATATGGCCTCATAATTCAATTTTGTGACACAGTTCCCAATGGCAGGATCCAAAGATAAGTTTGTTAAACAAGGCAAAGAGGATGATGGATTATTGTCAAATCAGTTCAAATGGCTGGAAAATCTACTCAAACTATATCATGCTCTGGTCAGGCCACACCAAGAATATGAGTCTGGTTGCCATGCAAAGGCCAACCCTTAGATGCAGTGCAAAGGAGAGCAAGGAGGATGATCCCTGGTGATAGAGGGTTGAGCTACAACTCTGAGCAATGACTAAGGCTCTTTGGTCTTGAGAGCAGATGATTCAAAGGGAACCTCATTGAGAAATATAAGATGTTAAATGGAATTGGAAAAGAACAATACTTCCACCAAAAAAGCAACCCCACAACACCAGAACAATACATAAAATAAACTCAGAATGTTAAGATGCACCAAGACGGTAGAACAATACGACATTGGCCAGGACACTGCATTCGTTTCAAAAAAAGCACAATGCTGTATTGGGAGGAAGTAAGGTAAATAATAATAATAATTCTTGCATTTGATATGGCACCTTATCACATCTTCTAGATGTCTCAAAGTGCTTCACAGAATATACTGTAAAGTTAATGGACTATGTTTTGTGGGCGAAACGCAGTAGCCAATTGTATATAGCAGTGTCCCACAAAACAGCCGTGGATTGAACAACCAATTTTATTTTGAAGGAATTATTACCCTCGGAAAAGCGATCCACCAATTGACTAACAACCAGGTTCCTACTTACTACTAGGTAAACAGAGGCATATGGAGTAACAAAACTTGCCCAGTGTTTTGCCCTGCCCGGAATTGAACCCAGGTCTATCACTTGCAAGGCGAGTGCTCTCACCACTGAGCTACAGGACTGCATGCCACTGAGAACGTAGGACTCCATTTTGGAGTATTCTGTAAGGATGAGATCAGATGT